GGATCATGAATATAAAAGTATTATCAGTGCCTAGAATGAACTGTCATCTTTTAATGTGTGATAATTTTCAGTAGAGGAAAATAGCAAACTACATATGTAAGGGATGCCAAATTCATGGCCTGCATGCCAAACTTGGCCCTCAGGATGGTGACACGTGGCCCACGGGATGAGAAGAAGAATTATTAGCCTGGGAAATTATGTATACTGTGATAGAAAATAGTGTCAAATACATTTTGTTACCATTATTGTCATCATTTAAAATTTAATACACAAACAAATAAACATGAAATTGCGTATATGTAGGTACTGTAAGTATAATCCTTTGTCAGCCCTCAGAATGGTAGCTGAAATGAAGTTTGACACCCCTGACATATGCTATTGCTACTATATTAAAGAAACACTTCTTAATGATAACTATGGCATTTACAGCAAAGTTGTATTTCCATAATAGTATAGCAAAAAAGGTACAGAGTTTGCCACACATGTAATATATTTTCTGTTTTGCTGTAAATTTGTGATTATGTGTCTGCATGTTCAGTCATTTTGATCTTTATTCATGTTTTGTAAAATACAGCTCCTGATCTTGGATATGTATGATAGAAAAAATTCTTTTATAGAGATATAAATTTTTTATTTTTTACTATATATTTTGAGATGCTGTGTGTTACCTGTAAATGAAAATAACAATGATAAATATATGGACAGTATCATACATATTACTATAAGTTTGCAGATTATTTATATATATGAAATAATCACAACATAAAATCTTCAAGCATATGCAGATATTATATATGAGTACAATGTAAAAGCTTGCCACAAATAACTCAAGTGTTGTAGGTTGCACAAACAAAATATACCCTCCAAGTGGTAAGATGTAAATGTTGCACATGTACAAATTTCTTCATGGGACATATTTAAGGGCACGAAAAACCTCTTATGATTAATTTTAGATATGCTATGAAGAGTTGTGACTCAGATTTAGAAATCTAGTAAATGTTGTTTGTCACAGACATACTAAGATTAAAGTATTGGTTAACAAATGTTATTATACCCTTTGGTTGTCAGTTGCATTTCTGGCATTACAATTATCATTCATATAATTCCTAAGTTAATTTGGCAGCAAGTGGCAACTCTGACATTTGTTAACAAATTTATGTCAATATGTGGTGACCTGAAACTAGCTGCCAGAAATGCGTTTACCGGATTATATTTAAATGAATATTAAACTAGTCATACCTTTATTCTGAAAGAGCATGTTTTTAGTTTTCTGTATTAATGCTGCTTTAGTTTCAAAATGAAAATAAATGTAATTTTCTAAGTTTGTCTTTCCTTTCCTGTGATGATATTTGTAGACTAATATTCTGAACTTAATATGATATTAATACAATTGGATCTGATAGTACCAAATATGCTTTCACAATAATAATAATAGCAGCTCTGCTTTGAGTGTCATTGATTTTTGATAATTATTGATAGGATGTGAGTTGAGGTTGTGTTAAGATGGTTGGTTAGTGTAAAATAGTACATATCAACAATGATAAGAAGGACAATAGTAATAATATTAATTGTTACATCGAAATACAATATTAATTCACTGAACAATAACAAAAAGTATTGATAATGAGGTTTAATGGATCCAGTTGAAACAAAGACCAGAAGGGGAAATGATTAAAAAGAATAGTGAAAAAAAGGATCAACAATACTACCTGGTATTTATACTCAATGTAAAAGACGAATGTTTTATCATCTGGGACTATTGCAGCTACTACTACTACTACTACAAATGATGATATGAATGAGGATGGGGTTGAAGATGAAAGATGATGATGATGATTAAAGATAATGATAATGATAATGATGCTAATAACTGATTCTTTTATTGAGATAATAATAATTATTATTATCACAATATAATAATGAATGATAATGAAAAAAAATGATGATAGTAATAATATGATGATAATGATAGTGATAATGATGTTGGTGATAATTATAATGATGATGAAGATGATAATAATAATAATATCAAAATCATAACTATAATGATAATAATGATATTACTGCTAACGGTAATGACAGTATTGACAATGGCAATAAACACAGTATCTGTTTTAGATGCAGTCAGATACCAATGATATCAGTTACCATAATCGAAATAGTAATGATATTAGATAAAAAGGGAAAAGTGCAACGGATTCATCCACACCCCACCCCTCACCTTCCTCCTCCCGTTTTCTTTTCTTTTCTTAAAACAAAAGATAATCAAAAGAAAAAATGTGTATAAAAATAATTTCTGTCTGGTATATCACAGAGCAATTTATTCGCAAGTGACCTTCATAATCATTGCGTATTACATTAGGATTCTTTAGATTACTTAGAGAAATGGAGGAATACAGGCGTAAACATATTCGTACTACATCTATTTCAGATAGGAATGAATGAAATCTTGCCTGCTGCCACAAATATTCTTGATTCGAGATTTTTGTCTGTTCTAGAA